GTATAAATTTGGCCCACGGTAGAGATTTTTGTTATACCGGCATATTGCGATACGTCATTATGTCATTAAATTGCGCAGGCTCTGACGCCAGCAGAAAGGACCAAAACAAACCGGCATTCAGCAGCATTAGCCTAGCACTATTAGCCTAGCACATTAGCCTAGCACTATTGGACACCACTGGAAACAACGAACAACAGCACGGCGTTAACACCGTGTTTCTGTCTATGTATTGTTGTCACAGCGGCCCCAGCAGAGGTAAATACACACACAGTAATCACAGTTTAAGCGTCTACCTTTTGGCCAATCGGTGTCAAAGGGGCGTAAGCTCGAAGCGCCAGCGTGAGCCAAAATAGATCCATGCGTGTGCCGTGTCCGCAGAATCACAGCAGAAGTTTGGGAAAGTTAGCGTCAGATTCGGACCTCCGCGGTCAATATCTCACGAAAGCTACTTTGTTAAACAAAATTATTTGTGCCAAAATGATCATTTACATCAATTGTTCAAATCCAATGCGCTGTTTTAATGAACATAAAATCCATTGAATCATCCAGCGCAGAGAAAAGCGCTTAGGGAGCGTCAACAAATGGCAAGACCAGCTTTGTAAACAAACAGCTTTTACTGAAGTCATGCACCTGCACAAAACTCTCAGACACTATAAATAATGACCATGTCTCACTCCTACAGACTTTGTTTTCATCATTTGTGAGTTTTTTATATTTTAAATGAATGCATATGTTTTTCTTTTTAAAAATTGCTTTTACAGTGAATGGTATTTACTGTAACATACATAAATAATGTATGTTATTTGTCTCTTTATTCGTCTCACAACTGATTTTCTAACTCAAAAAATATATATTAGATTCTAATATATAAATAATTAACAATCTTGACTATTTTATGCAAGAACCTGCTAGACCTATATTGAAATTCACACACCAAATTATACCGCGATATATACCGTCTACCGTCTATGACCCAAATTATACCGCGATATGAATTTTAGGCCATATCGCCCACCCCTAACCACATGTGTCAAAGTCAAGGCCCGCGGGCCAAATCCGGCCCGCGAATGAATTATCTATGGCCCCCGGGACATTGCCTGCCATTGAGGCAATGTATTGACCCCTTAAGCTCGCTAGCCCCCGCCGGCGGGAGCAAACGAGGAAAAAAATACATCTGCTGGCAATAGCAGATGTATTTTGAACTTCATAAGCCACAAGCTATATATCATTTTAAAGCTTATTTTCTCAGCTATATTTATATGTAAGTGTAAACGATATCAGACTTTGCATTAAAAAGATATAACGCATAATATGAGCCCAAAATAAATCACGTCTGTATTTGTTTTTTACCTTTCGTCTTCTGCTGCTCCAACAAATTAGACTTTCCCCGACCTTGCTTAGTCGCTTTCTCTCCGTAACTGTCTATTGAAGAAGAATATCCACTTGTATTTCCCAAAGTATAATCCCTTCTGCAGATTTAATCAAAAAACGCCCCGAAAAGAGGTCCAGACTGCTCTTTTACATTTCACCAAGTTTGAGGTTTTTTTTTTTTTTTACTATTTTCATGTTCTCAGATGTCTATTACATCTAATACGTACAGTATGAGGATTGGCTTTAGAGCATATTTTATCAAGCCAACAGGTGTCACCGGCACTGCCTCTGGATGTTGAGAAACATTGAACCAGTCCGGCCCTCGGCGCGTAGCAAACATTTTTTTTTGGCCCTCTGATGTATTTGACTTTGACATGCCTGGTCTAAACGATATGAAATCACAAACTGGGAAATTAGAAAGAGATTTAACGCTTCTGCTGAAAGCCCCCACTGAAAGACCTCAGCTCCTGTGGACTCAGCACCTGCAGGAGGATCAGTGAGGGGCTGGTGCTCTGTGAATCAGGTTCAGCTCTGACTGCCACCCCCCCAACCCAGAAATGGATTAAGGGGAAGAAAATGGATGGATGGGTTTAACACTTCTCTCTGGACAGATGGAAACCCTTTGTCTGCTTGTGAGAAAAAGCCCTTGCAAGTCTGATATAAAAGATCCGACAAAAACCCAAAAAACATACGCATGACTTGAGATCTGAAAGTGAGTTCCCCAGCTTTAACTTACTTGCCTTGAAAAACTTGTGACGTTGCGAAGACCGTTACAAGCCTTCAGACTGCAAATCTGGTAAATAACCAGTGAAAAAACAATATTCAGCAAAGCAAACGATCTTGCTTTAAAAATATACAAGAAATGTCTCCCTTGGAATGAAAAAAATAATAATAACTTAGTTCTTGAAATGAGACTAAATGGCTTAATTAATGGCTTAATTTGAGCACTAAAACAATCCTTGAAAGAATATTTGTCAAAGGCACAAAGCAAAAAGATACAAAACATTTATCTGGAAAAAATGGCATGCGATTGAGTTATAGACTTGAGTTTTTCCAATATGGTCTTTTTATTTTATTTTTATTAATATCTTTTTTATTGCATTTTAAGGATACTTTTTACCCCCAGTCCTTCCCACAATACAGTGCCCCCTTGAACCTTTCAAAATTTCGCATCATTTCAGGCTTCAAACATAAAGATATAAAAAAATATTTTTTTGTCATGAATCAACAACAAGTGGGACACAATCGTGAAGTGGAACAAAATTTATTGGATAATTTAAACTTTTTTAACAAATAAAAAACTGAAAAGTGGGGCGTGCAGTATTATTCGGCCCCCTTGCGCTAATACTTTGTAGCGCCACCTTTTGCTGCAATTACAGCTGCAAGTCGCTTGGGGTATGTCTCTATCAGTTTTGCACATCGAGAGACTGGAATTCTTTCCCATTCTTCCTTGCAAAACAGCTCTAGCTCAGTGAGGTTGGATGGAGAGCGTTTGTGAACAGCAGTCTTCAGCTCTTTCCACAGATTCTCGATTGGATTCAGGTCTGGACTTTGACTTGGCCATTCTAACACCTGGATACGTCTATTTGTGAACCATTCCATTGTAGATTTGGCTTTATGTTTTGGATCATTGTCCTGTTGGAAGATAAATCTCCGTCCCAGTCTCAGGTCTTTTGCAGACTCCAACAGGTTTTCTTCCAGAATGGTCCTGTATTTGGCTCCATCCATCTTCCCATCAATTTTAGCCATCTTCCTTGTCCCTGCTGAAGAAAAGCAGGCCCAAAGCATGATGCTGCCACCACCATGTTTGACAGTGGGGATGGTGTGTTCAGGGTGATGAGCTGTGTTGCTTTTACTCCAAACATATCGTTTTGCATTGTGGCCAAAAAGTTCGATTTTGGTTTCATCTGAGCAGAGCACCTTCTTCCACATGTTGGGTGTATCTCCCAGGTGGCTTGTGGCAAACTTTAAACAAGACTTTTTATGGATATCTTTGAGAAATGGCTTTCTTCTTGCCACTCTTCCATAAAGGCCAGATTTGTGCTATGGACAGACTCTCCCACCTCAGCTGTAGTTATCTGCAGTTCATCCAGAGTGATCATGGGCCTCTTGGCTGCATCTCTGATCAGTCTTCTCCTTGTTTGAGATGAAAGTTTGGAGGGACAGCCGGGTCTTGGTAGATTTGCAGTGGTCTGATACTCCTTCCATTTCAATATAATTGCTTGCACAGAGCTCCTTGAGATGTTTAAAGCTTGGGAAATCTTTTTGTATCCAAATCCGGCTTTAAACTTCTCCACAACAGTATCTCGGACCTGCCTGGTGTGTTCCTTTGTCTTCATGGTTCTCTCTGCGCTTTAAACAGAACCCTGAGACTATCAAAGAGCAGGTGCATTTATACGGAGACTTGTTTACACACAGGTGCATTCTATTTATCATCATCAGTCATTTAGGACAACATTGGATCATTCAAAGATCCTCACTGAACTTCTGGAGTGAGTTTGCTGCACTGAAAGTAAAGGGGCCGAATAATATTGCACGCCCCACTTCAATCAATCAATCAACTTTATTTGTATGGCGCCTTTCCAACACAAGGCCACTCAAAGCGCCTCACAACCCACATAATATCAGACAAATCAGAAACATCAAAAACTACATATGCAAACAATAAATACATTAAAAACAGAATAAAATCACAAGTAATGAAAAAACCTTAAAACATTAAAAGCACACACGGGATTAAAATAATAAATAACCACAATGCATTAAAAAAGAGTATGTATCAATAAAATCCTTCAGCCGTATGCACAGCTAAAAAGAACAGTTTTTAACCTTGATTTGAAAATTGCCAGAGTAGATGCTAGCCTCACATCTTCAGGAAGATTGTTCCAGATTTTAGCTGCATAAATCTCAAACGCAGCCTCCCCATGTTTAGTTCTGACTCTTGGAACCAGTAAGAGGCTTCCTCCTGTGCTCCTCAGAGTCCGGCCGGTTCATATGGCACTAACAAGTCGCTTAAGTACTTTGGTGCGAGGCCATTTTCAGTTTTTTATTTGTTAAAAAAGTTTAAATTATCCAATACATTTCGTTACACTTCACGATTGTGTCCCACTTGTTGTTGATTCATAACAAAAAAAAGTTCAAGGGGGCCGAATACCGGCACGGCACTGTATCCCCATAGCATATGACATTTAATACCAAATACATTTACAGCCAAAAAAAAACAGTAATAATGATAATAGTATAATTAATAAAGAAATAATAATAAAGAGAAAAAAAATAAAGTAATAGTAAACAATAAAAAAAAATATATATATATTTTTTTATATATATATATATTTTTTTTTTCCAATATTGTTTTAAAATCTTGAATCTTAAAAATCTTGAACAGCTCCCTTGTAATACGTCTGCATGGTTTCATCCCAGTGGCAAATCTTGTTTCTACACAGTCTGAATGTAATTAAGTTAAGAAATGATGAAAACCTCATATGTTTTCAGTTTTTACAGTGTGCCGGTTAAGACTTGGACTCACTTGGGTTAAATGGGTAAAGTCTGGTGTGCTTTTACTAGGTTGGAATTAAAACACACGCCTTTTGAGGACCGCCTTAGACACCTGCGAGTTAGCCTCACATCTACAAACCAAACCGACGCAGCTTCTCTGTTTCTCCATCGTCACGAGACTGTACTGCACTTTGCCCAAACCGCTCAGAACTGGGACGACTGCGGCGGCGGCGTCTGGTTTGAAGCGAGAGGAGACAGACGGTCGGATAGAAGAGAGTGAGAGTGTGTCTGCGGCGAGACTGACAGCCGCTGTGAATAAGAGAGCAGTTATAACCCCGAACTGACAGGCTGAGAGCGGCGGCCATGATGGGAACGACAAGTGTGACTAAAGATATAAGTCGCCTCTATAGGAGCTTTCACACTGTCACTTCAGCGCTTTGTGGAGCGCCTTTTTCTGCGTCAATTAAAGAGCTGCTCTCACTGTAACGGAAGCACGAGTCCATGTACGAGTTTCTGAATACTTGAGTTCTGAGTCTTACTATTAACGGCGTGTAGAGATGAAAAAAACAGCTCAAATATGTCACGTGGTATTTCTGAGTAAGATGGAGCTGTAGCTGTAATATCCATCCTGCTCACCAAAAACATAACTCTTATAAAGACTGGCGAAATTACAGACAATAAGAAGGTTTGTGACAAAACTGTACAAAAGGTAACAAGAGTGGCTGGGCTGGACTATGCTGGGCTGGTCTGGACTGGGCTAGGCTGGGCTTGACTGAACTGGGCTTGGCTGGACTGGGCTGGGCTTGAGGCTGAGGCAGAGCGAAAACCAGGAGGACGGCTGAGTCCTGGACTGAGGCTGTAGATCCAGGACTGAGGCTGTAGATCCAGGACTGAGGCTGTAGATCCAGGACTGTGGCTGTAGATCCAGGACTGAGGCCGTTGATCCAGGACTGAGCCTGTAGATCCAGGACTCAGGCTGTAGATCCAGGACTGAGGCTGTAATAGATCCAGGACTCAGGCTGTAGATCCAGGACTGAGGCTGTAGATCCAGGACTGAGGCTGTAGATCCAGGACTGAGGCTGTAGATCCAGGACTCAGGCTGTAGATCTAGGACTTTGGCTGTAGATCCAGGACTGAGGCTGTAGATCCAGGACTCAGGCTGTAGATCCAGGACTGAGGCAGTTGATCCAGGACTGAGCCTGTAGATCCAGGACTCAGGCTGTAGATCCAGGACTGAGGATGTAGATCCAGGACTGAGGCTGTAATAGATCCAGGACTCAGGCTGTAGATCCAGGACTGAGGCTGTAGATCCAGGACTGAGGCTGTAGATCCAGGACTCAGGCTGTAGATCCAGGACTGAGGCTGTAGATCCAGGACTGAGGCTGTAGATCCAGGACTGAGGCTGTAGATCCAGGACTGAGGCTGTAGATCCAGGACTGAGGCTGTAGATCCAGAACTGAGGCTGTAGATCCAGGACTGAGGCTGGACTGAGGCTGTAGATCCAGAACTGAGGCTGTAGATCCAGGACTGAGGCTGTAGATCCAGGACTGAGGCTGGACTGAGACTGTAGAAGGCCTTTCATGTGTCCTTATAATACCATTAACACCAGATTTGCCTTTTATTCCAACAATTGCACAGTGTTTAGTGAACCAAGGAGGCGGTATTTGACATTGGATTATGAGAGTGGTTAGCGTTGTGGGCGCCAGATAAGCATGTGTAGAAGTAGTTGATGGAGTAATGACATTAGGACATAACTGTGAAGCTAATTGTCCGTAGCGTGTGTGCGGCAGTGAAGAGGTGAGGAGGGACCGAGAGTTTACAAAGAGTGAAATTAACCACAACGAGGACGGATGAGCACTCTTCTGGAAAAAACCTCTGGAAACAGCCACCGCGGGAGACCAGAGGGAGAGAGAGGAGATACAGAGGTGTGTGTGTTGGTGTGAGTGTGTGTGTGAGTGTGTGTGTGAGTGTGTGTGTCACAGATGAAAACTGTGAAAAGAGCAGAAACGCACACGGAGCAGAGAAGACAAAGTGGAGCTGAACCACACACACACAGACACAAACAGACACACACACAGACACAAACAGACACACACACAGACACAAACAGACACACACACAGACACAAACAGACACACATGCAGACACAACTGTATGTGTGGTACTGGGGACTACTTTCTTGAGAGTCCCAGCAGGAGGTCCAGTCCCTGTGCTCCTCAGAGTCAGAGTTGGTTCATTGGCACTAACAATATCCACTGTTGATGCCAATAATAATAGAATAAAAAATAGATCAATTTTTCATATTTTTTAGTTTCTGACTTTTTCCTGAGATTCTAGACCAGGGGTGTCCAAACCTTTTATTAAGAGGGCCACTTTAGTTCATCACACCTGACCTGGGGCCGACAACCTGGATTTAAAAAACTGGTTTTGAGCTGGATTGACTGGATTTTATGTAGAATGTTGTGACACAATAATGAAACAAATGTCAGTAAATAACAAAAGAGTCAACGAGTGGACCCCAGAGAGTCAAAGTGCCTCAACTGTGACTTTGTGTTAGGGCCACATAAAATGCTACAGAGGGCCGCATTTGGCCCGCGGGCCTGAGGTTGGACATGCCTGTTCTAGACCCACAGACAAAGCCTTAAACATCGTCTTGTGAGCTCCTGAAACATGTGTCTTCAAATAGATGCAAAAAGCCTTTTTTACTGCGTCTAAGTATCATACTCTGCGGCTGTGGTTTTAAACACAGCTTTGAAAAACAGAGCTAATGGAGCTAATGGGAGACAATGGGGGAGACTGTGGGGGAGACTGTGGGGGAGACTGAGGGGGAGACAGTGGGGGAGGCTACAGAAGAGCCAGAGGCAAGGTGATCCTGACCACAGCTGCAGAGGGCACTCCGCTGGGGGCCACTGGGAGAACTGGAGTTCTGTGGCTTCTGTAGTGTTGCCTAATGTTACCAGTGTGTGATACTGGGACGTGTGTGTCTGTCTGTCTTTGTGTGTGTGTGTGTGTGTGTGTGTGTGTGCGTGTCTGTATGTATGTGTCTGCCTGTCTGTCCGTGTCTGTCTGTCTTTGTGTGTGTGTGTGTTTGTGTGTGCGTGTCTTTGTGTATGTGTCTGCCTATCTGTCCGCGTCTGTCTCTCTTTGTGTGTGTGTGTTTCTGTGTGCGTGTCTTTGTGTACGTGTCTGTTTGTCTGTCCGTGTCTGTCTGTCTTTGTGTGTGTGTGTTTGTGTGTGCGTGTCTTTGTGTAAGTGTCTGTCTGTCTGTGTATCTCTGTATACTGTATATGTCTGTCTGTGTGTGTGACTGACTGTGTGTGTGTGTGTGTGTGTGTGTGTGTGCGCATCTCTGTCTGTCTGTCTGTCTATGTATTTGTGCGTGTGTGTGTGTGTGTGTGTGTGTGTGTGTGTGTGTGTGTGCGCATCTCTGTCTGTCTGTCTGTCTATGTATTTGTGCGTGTGTGTGTGTGTGTGTGTGTGCGTGCGTGTGTTTGTGTCTGTGTGTTTGTGTATTTATGTATGTGTGTGTGTGTTTGTGATACTGGGACATGGACCACAGATATGGAAACATTCTCGCGGTGAAACAGTTTATAGTTTATATACTTGTTTACATCAATACTTGGTACTTATTGAGTTGTGACCTTTTCAAATCTTACAGTTATGATTGTTGTGAGAATAAATGGTATTACATTTGAAACTGAAGTCTTTTACGACAATAACATATTCAAAATAGTCTCTTCCCTTAGTTTCCAAACATGTATACTTTATTCATCAGAAAATACAATGTAGATTCTTTCTCTGTGTATTCTTCCAGTGCTCTGCTAATTTACCCATTGTATTTACAGGCCTCTACTTTGGTCCTGAAAGCACATTTAAGAAACATTTCCAGCTACTTTTCTGTGTGTATGTCCTCACTGTGACTGTGACTTGTTTTCTGGTTGTTTTGTCCTCTACAAAAGTTTTAAGCAACAGCGACAAATCCAAGGCAAACCGAGTGGGCACTAAAAACTGGATTTGAGGGGGGCGCTAGTGCGCAGGCATAGGATGTAGACGTGTTTTGTCAGTGCTCTCCACCAAAATTCTGAATAACCTCAAAATACACCACTAAAGGACTCTCAACAAGCAACTACCACTGCTTCTACGTATTTCTCACGTCGTGTGCATTACTTTTTTGGAAAATGCCACCAAAGACCAGCGCTTCAAGCAAGTCCAGAACCATGGAAGGGTATGTTAGCAATGCTACTGCTAGCGGGGCTAATGCTGGCGGGGCTAATGCTAACGCTGGCCGCCAGAATGAGCCAGCTCAAACACCCAACGCAAACCCAGGGGAAGACAAGACCTATGCTGTGTGTAGAGAGATGTGCAAGGAAATGTCTATGTCCATCTTGGGGAAGATTGATGAGCGTTTTGATGCATTTGACACAAGATTTGAGACCCTTCTCTCTGAGCAAGCTAACTTGAGAGAAAGACTGGACAGTCAAGAGCAAGCCACGTGTAGCCTTGATCTGCGGGTGACAACTCTGGAGAATAAATATGAGGCACTGACTAAGCATGCAAGCCAGCTACAAAATAAGCTTCTAGACCTTGAAGCTCGCTCACGCAGGCACAATATAAAAATAGTTGGCATTGAAGAGGGGACAGAAAGAGGCAATCCAACTGATTTTGTCTCCAGACTGATCCCAGAGCTTGTGGGAAAGGAGCACTTTCCACGTCCTGTGAAAGTTGACCGGGCTCACCGCACAGCACAACAAGCCCAACCGGGCAAATCACGGACTATCTTGGCCCGGATTCATCACTTTCAGGAGAAAGAGCTGATTTTGCAACGCAGCAGAATACAACAGGGATTTGAGTACAACGGGAAAAAGGTTCTGATTTTCCCTGACTACACCAGTGAAGTGATGACCCAAAGACGTGCCTTTCGAGATGTGATGCAGACCCTCCGGGACCACAAGATCAAGCACACACTTCGCTACCCAGCAAGGCTCCACGTGTACTGGCGTAATGGGGAAGCACCTGCAATCTTCAATGATGCCAAAGAGGCGGCTTGGTCCTTGGAGCAACACAAGTCCTCCGAAAAGGAATAAGAGGTGACTTAATCTGAGTGTGATGCATATTCAAAGTGAGAATAGAGACTTCACTTAATGCTGTCAAATGCAGTATTTTATGTTAATGAAACATGACTGAGTAGTCCCATTGGTTGAATTTTTAAAACTTTATAAGGTTAGCACAGTGGTGATTTGTTTACTCAAATAAGATATGGTGGGGGGAATGTTGAGAGCGTCAGAGCGTCGTTATGACCTGTCCGGCAGTTCCTATGTGGATGAAGATGGGAATCCATGCGTCAGGTTCCGGGAGACGCATTTGGGACTGGGGGGACTCGGGGTGTTATGTTCTTCTAATTGTTAATGTTCTATGGCTCAGGTGCTCTTGTTTCATTGTAATCTTAATGTTGACAGTGCTGAATATTTGTTTTGTGCTCTTTCATCCCTGCATTTTCTTTAGCTCATTCTTAAAAAATGCATAGGACGCAGGGTATTGCACAGGCAGGAAATAGAGTTTTACATTTAGTTTCATGGAATGTTAAAGGGCTTGGAAGTGTTGTGAAAAGGGGGAAAGTGTTTAAACATCTCAAGTCTTTGTCAGCGGATATAATTTTCCTCCAGGAGACTCATATTAAAGCGGCAGTACAACATAGACTAAAATGCAGTTGGGCATCTCAAATATATCAGTCTCCGTTCACTTCAAGTGCCCGTGGTGTGGCAATACTGTTTAAAAAAGATGTTCCATTCCAGCTGACCTCTGTTATCAATGATCCTTTTGGCAGATTCTTGATGATATCTGGGTCAATAAACTCTGTTCACCTTACTCTTCTGAATGTTTACGGCCCAAACACAGATGAACCCAACTTTTTTACAAAAATCTTTAACTTGCTACCAGATGACAATGACTCAAATATAATAATTGCTGGAGATCTAAACTGTTATCTTGATCCCTATTTAGATCGTTTGTCTTCACGCCCTCCTCCAGACATTGCCTCTATACGCACTCTAAACAATCTTATGAAAGCTAGAAATGTGGTTGATATTTGGAGAATTCAGCATCCTACAGACAGAGAGTATTCATTTTATTCAAATGCGCACAAGTCTTACAGTCGTATAGACTACTTCTTAACCAGTTCTAATCTTATTTCTCATGTCTCCAATTCTAAATACCATAATATCTTAATCTCGGATCATAGCCCTTTAGTAATATCTCTTGATCTCTCCCTACCGAAACAAACTTACTCATGGCGCTTCAATCCAACTCTAATTAGCGATGACAACTTTGTGAAACACATCACTGCAAAATTAAAGGACTTTATTGAACTTAACGATAACAATGAAGTGTCAGATTCAACACTATGGGAATCATTAAAAGCTGTTATCCGTGGTGACATAATATCCTACACCTCAAATCTTAAGAAAGTAAAAAAAAGAAGACTCAATGAGATTAATACCACACTCCCAGATCTGGAGAGAAAATACCAAATTTCAAAATCTCCTGATGATTATAGAAAAATATTGAAGCTTAAATATGAATATAGTAGCATTATGAGTGATCAAGTTAACAACTTACTATTGAAACTTAGGCAAAAGCACTTTGAATTGGGAGATAAACCAAGTAAACTGTTAGCACAGCAACTTAAGGGCTCCCAAGCCTCCAGAGCAATTCATAAAATTATGTCTAAATCAGGTACTATTCTAACAAACCCCTCAGATATAAACAACTGTTTCAAGGAATTTTATGAGGAACTGTATTCTTCTAAGCAGCATGCAGAACAGTCCCATTTAAATGATTTTTTTGACCCTCTCTCCCTACCTAGGCTGGATGATGCTGCCAGGGACCATCTTGATTCTGAATTTACATTGCAGGAAGTCATCACAGCCATAAAATCATTCCCATCTGGCAAGGCATGTGGACCTGATGGATTCAGCTCTGAATTTTTTAAGAAATTTAGCGATGTCCTTGCTCCACTCCTGCTCAGGATGATAAAAAATTCTAAAAGTGAAGGGAAACTGCCAAAAACATTATATGAAGCAAACATCTCTCTCATTTTAAAAAAGGGCAGAGATGACTCAGACCCGGCTAACTTCAGGCCAATTGCGCTTCAAAATTTTGATCGCAAAGTTATGACAAAAATGTTAGCAACTAGACTGAATAAGTACCTAACAAATATAATTCATCCTGACCAGACGGGATTCATCCCTGGCAGACTCTCCTTTTCTAATGTTAGGCGTCTACTTAATACCATTTACTCTGACCATAGTAGCTCAAAAGGAGCGGCAATCTTATCCTTAGATGCACATAAGGCTTTCGATCAGGTGGAGTGGCCCTATATGTTTGAGTCATTGCGGAGGTTTGGGCTTGGTGAAACATTTATATCTTGGGTTAAACTAATATATGCAAATCCACTGTGTTCTATTCTAACAAATGGTAATAGGTCTGCACCTTTCCCCCTACAGCGTTCTGTTCAGCAGGGGTGCCCGTTGTCTCCTGCTTTGTTTGCTATAGCATTGGAACCCTTGGCTGTAAAAATAAGAGCACATTCGCGGATACAGGGTCTCATTGTTGGAGGTGTGGAGACTCTCATTAGTTTGTATGCTGATGATGTGATCCTGTATTTGCGCAATGCTGAGGAGTCGGTTGCTCCCCTTCTTGATTTAGTCGCATGTTTTGGCAAAATATCTGGTTACACAATTAACTGGATGAAAAGCGAGTTTATGCCACTGTCTCAGGCTTCAACAAACTTTCTAAAAAATGTTCCATTTAAAGTAGTCAATGACCATTTCACTTATCTGGGGCTAGTTATTCCAAAAAACCCTAAATTGATTTTTAAATTAAATTTTGTAGAGTTTGTAAAGGGACTAAAACAAAATATCGAATTATGGAAGATTCTCCCTCTCTCTATGGTGGGCCGAATTAATTCCATAAAAATGGTTTCCCTTCCTAGATTTTTGTACTTGTGCCAAAATTTACCTATTTGTCTAACATCTGCCTTTTTCAGAGATTTAGACTCGTTAATTAATTCCTATATTTGGAATAACAAAAATGCAAGGATTTCCAAGATACATCTACAAAAATCTAAAGCAGAAGGGGGGCTTGGTTTGCCAGTGTTTAAGCATTATTACTGGGCTGCCAACCTCAGGGCGTTAATGTTTTGGAGGAAGGCATCCCCTGGCAGTCTGGATTCAAGGGCCCCCCTGTGGCTGAAAATGGAGGTCGGATCTGTAAAAGATTCGTCTTTGGATGCAATTCTCTATTCTAAATTTGACAAGTCTGAATCTTTTAGAAATCAATGTTTTGTTTTGAAGCAGTCTATTCGGATTCTAAACCAGGTCAGGAGTTTTTTGGCCCTACCAAATACCTCTGTTCAAACACCTATTTGTTATAACCATTCATTTTTGCCTCCTTGGAATGACAGATATTATCATGACTGGAGCGAGAGGGGCTTAGCTGTACTTGAAGATTTGTACATAGATGGTGAATTTGCATCATTTGTCCAGCTGAAACAGAAGTATAATCTTTCTCATTCAAATTTTTTTCGCTACTTGCAAGTCAGACACTACATCCAATCTAGAATTCCAAATTTTAGAGAGCTTCCTATGGAACACGATTTGTATCATGTTATTAAAAGCCCTTCTCGCTCCAAACATCTTATTTCAAAGATTATAAATGTATTCAATAATGGAATCAGGCCAAGTACAGTGAAGATCAGAAACACATGGAGTGAGGATCTTGGTGTTGAACTGTCTGAACGTGTGTGGGATAAATGTTTATCTAAGATTCACTCTTGTTCTATTAACAGCAGACATCAATTAATACAATTCAAAATTGTCCATCGTTTACATTATTCTAAATTCGGATTGCATAGAATTTATCCCACAACGTCGCCCATTTGTGACAGGTGTAACTCATCAGAGAGCACCCTGGCGCATGCTTTCTGGTCCTGTTCTTCATTGTACAGCTTTTGGGGAAAAGTGTTCAACTGGTACTCCAAAGCATATGGGATAAATGTTTCCCCTGAACCATGTCTTGCCATGTTTGGACTCTCGGACAATAAGAACTTTCCAGCTATAATGCAGACACCATTGGAACTGGGGACGATGGTTGCAAAAAAACTTATTCTAAGGGAGTGGAAATCCTCTGCTTCTCCATCGTTTAAAGCGTGGCTCTCTGAAATGCTCCTATTGATAAATATGGAGAGGATGAGGTCCTTACAGTCCTGTTCGATCAATAGATTTTCTAATATGTGGGATCCATTTATGGCTCATCTTGAAACAAGTAATTTTGACTAGTACTGTGTCATTACTATATTTCCTTCCTATTATTTTTATTATTTTTGTATTTGTCAACATGTAGAACTGCCAAATATTGATGCACCTGAGCCTGTTTGTCTGTTAACATTTTAAAAACCAAAATAAAATATTGAAAAGAAAAAAAAAAAAAAAAAAAAAAAACTGGATTTGAACGCTCATGGATGGAAGCAAATCTTTTCAACACAAAAGGTCCTTTCGTTTTTTGCTCTGCTTCCCATTAACAGCCACATAAAAGAGCTGTTGTAAGAAGTCCAGCCTTGAGAAAAGACTGTGGTCGGATTTCAAAATGATGTCCGAAACACAACTTCTTGACCACAAGTGGACCGTGGAAAACACTGCTTCTGTAAAGTCTGTTGGATTCTGCTGCTTTATATTTGAATTTGAAGTGGATTTCCCGTAGTAATGGTATTTTTAGTTACAGTGGCGTGAAAACCCCGAGGCGCCCGTATCACATGGTGAATATGAAAATCTGTTAACTGTGTCATTCCACATCACATTACTGCAACGTGGAGGAACATGGTCTGGACCAGGGAGAGAGGGAGGGAGTGGGGAGAGAGAGAGAGGGAGGAAGAGGGGGAGAGGGAGAGGAGGCAGGGTGGAAGAGAGAGAGAGGGAGGGAGGGAGAGAGAGGGTGAGAGAGAGACAGAGAGACAGAGAGAGGGAGGGAGGGAGAGGGGGGAGGGAGAGGGGGGAGGGAGAGAGAGAGTGAAAGAGAGAGGGAGAGAGGG